CCCAACACATCACTTGCTGGCAAGACAGCAAATGTAGCATCTAACAGGCCTCATTGCCTTTGATAAGATGAGGCTGAAGAACAAACACTATTTGGAGCCTGAAAGTATACTCAACCTCTGGGCATGCAGTTGAATTAAATTAAATTAAATTAAATTAAATTAAATTAAATTAAATTAAATTAAATTAAATTAAATATGGAAACAGTGCTATCAGAGGTTTGGCTTCTTGGACTGTTTGGCAGATCCAGCTCAGAACTCAGCTTGGCTGCATCCTAATGGAGTTCTGTAACCTGCAGATCACCCCCAGTAACATGTTCTACAGCTGGCTCCTTTCTGGCTGACTGCCCTCCGGCAACCTCAAAAGACCATAAGATCAGAAAGGGTCTTCCCACTCTACGTGCACCCTTGTCACACCCAACAGAGATAACCACAGTTACCCAGGATCTGAGCATCCTGGTTAGATGCCTTCCATCCTAGCCAGTGAAGGGAGCAATGGTTTCAGTACAGCAGCACTTGCAGAGAATAACAGTACAAAATCCTGAACAAGTCCTGCATTGTTCCAGCTACTTCAATGAGTGCAGTGGGCTTGGGCAAGCTAGAAGAGCTGAGTCAAGCCAGCAGAAATACTCGGGCCTTAAAATCTAACTTTTCTGGTTGAATGGAATGTTGACCCAATGAAAGCACGTGGAGTGGCACCTCCATCTGCTGGCATGCCAGGAGAGCTGACGGTTCTTTGCTTTTTCAAGCAAGCAAAGTGACACAATGAGGTTTACTACTACTGTTTATGCCTCTGTCCCACAGCAGAGTGCACTGCTGGAGGCATCAGTGCTGTGTGCTGACATCAGAAAGCTCCAGTGCAACCCTTGGTGACCTCTAAAGGTAAAGACAAAGCCCCACGACTACAGACTAACCAGACGATTACGGTATGCCTTCTCTCTGCACAAACCTTCTAAAAAGAATCCAAATAAAGTAGCTGTCCTGTATTCTAAGGCAAAAAAAATCGGAGTGGTTATTACAAAAATCTTCAACCTTTTGAAAATAGCATTCCAGCAAGTACTAATTTCTTTACTTCAGCAAAAGATTAAATGTCATCATAAATTCTTTCCCTTGTACCTGAAAGGTAATGGCTGAAGCTTAGTTAGCTAAAATGGGCTAGCTAACAGCACAGCCAATATGAGTTTAACCTTGTCTTCAGTGCCCAAGGATACTTCTCAAAGGCTGCTGGAATGCACCATAATAATCTGAGTCTCTATTTTTCTTCCCCCCACCCCACCCCCCATGTATGTGTGCCTGTGTCTATGTATGTTTACGTGTCTGTGTATTCTAAAAGAAAATCATCAGTGAATCTGGATTACTTTAGGCCACTGTTTCTCAACCTCAGCAACTTTAAGATGTGCACACTTCAACTCCCAGAATTCCCCAGCCAGCATGGGGAATCCTGGGAGTTGAAGTCCACACATCTTGATATTGCTGAGGTTGAGAAATACTAGATGATAGATTGATCCAATCTTTTAGTTTATTCACTGGATCCAGTAATATTTTCCAAGTCATGTACAAATATCCCCAGGTTCCATTTGAAACTGAGTTCAACAAACCAACAAATCTTCCTCCCACCCCCCATATATATTTTGCAAACCTCTACAAGTCTACTCTGCTGCTCTTTTCCCATTCCTTCTCCCAAACCAAGGCAGTGATAGACTTCATCTCTGGAGGTCCATAGCATCTAATCTCCAGGTCTAACATCTATAACTCTATCCCAGCACCCACCCTGGTGCAAGGAGCTGTGGGATCAATACATTTCCAAGATGCCTGAATCCATTCTGCGCTGAGGACTTCTACAAAACTATGCTTCTTCAGTTATCTGACATCCAGGTTGTTCCTGTAGTGTTGTTCTAGGTTCTAAAATCTTTTCCACTGAGGGTGTGCAGCAAAAAGGAGCATTGGGCAAATGTAGTACTCAGATAATACTCATTTAGTGACTGCCTCATTTAGTGACCGTTTGCAGTTACGATAGTGACGAAAAAGTAACTTTGCGACCAATCCTTGCATTTACAACCTTTGCAGGTCTGTAAAGCAAAGGAAAGCTGAAGTAAGATCATAAGCACAGTCGTGGTTTCACTTAGCGACACTTCACTTAACAACCAAGTTGCCGGTCCCAATTGTGGTCCCTAAACAAGAACTACCTGCATCTGCAATTCCTTAAAACAAACTCAAAGCAAACTAGGATCTCCAATCTAGAGATTACTTTGCAGTACATCCAAAAAACTGTGACCCATATCTTATTAACTAGGAGGGATATGCAGTGTGCCAATACACATGTGCCTTTTAATCTATTGCAGCGAGTCCTCAAGAACTGATCATACAGGAAATGCATAGTTGGCACTCTAAAATTGCATCAAATAAATTTTTCTAGATTGCAGTGGAGAGATTGTATGATCATTGATACATATTACCATCCTTGGTGGCAAGGCCTATTTAGTTACTCTTTTTGGCAAGGTTCTGAACAAATTGGGAAAATTAGTCAACAACATTTGGCAATCCTGTTATTGGTTACTGATAATTTTTCTTAAAACACATAAAGCAGCCAGATTTATTATGAGAAAGCCGTGGAGAATTAAAATACATTTTTAAGGCTCAGTAATGTTTAAAAGTAATTAATTGAAAAATTAATACAAAAAGCAACAAGGTTTGAGTTAGCTTTGAACAGCCATAAGATTAGGAAGCATTTTATTTAAATCTTATCACCATTTCTTAGTTATATTAAAAACTTAACTAATTATAAAAATGACTTTCGGTGTAGAAATACAGAATATGGATGCATAAAAATGTTTTAAACAAAATATACATTTTGTTCAAAACAAAAAAATATATAGTTCCATCATTTTTGTTGCTTTTATTCTTGGTTTAGCCTTTTTATGATTATGTCCTCCTTTCTTCCTTGATGTTCTATTTGTTTCAATTTAAAAACTACTGTGAATAAAGGTAAAAGGTTAACTTTATCCACAATAGCTTCTGAGATACTCTAGCTGGTATTGCGGACCTAAATAGTAACCCAGATTTGAGAAAGAAAGGTAAATACAAAGTCTGAATTTTGGGGGGGGGGGTTGTCCCAGCACCAACAATCAAACAGCAGTGTGAACAAGGGTGTCTCCAGGAGATTATTTAAAAATGCCAAGATGGCAGCTGCAACAGTACGATTTAAACTCTGCCACTCTTGGTGAAAGAAAATAAATGGAAGGATCCATGAAAAAATACAGGAAGGTTGGAGTTGGAAAGC